GCGGGGTGAGAAAAGCCTGGAAGTGGGGAAGGTGATAGCTTGGAAAAGAGAAGTAGACCACATAACCGCGAGATAAACCACAGAGGAATTTCGTTAGATCAGGGGGGGAAATTTAATAGATGCAATATTAATCCTCCACCTCTCCCCCTGCTCATCACCAGCTCTCACAACGAATGAACGACTGCACCCTGCGCCATCCATGATCGATTGTGGACTGGATCATTGTGATTCATAAGGCTTTCTTGGACCGGTTTTTCGAAGAAGATTGCCAGACCTTTCTTTCTAGTCTGTCTTAATCTGGAAGCTCAGCAAACGTTTATCCAGCATTTTAGCAACACACAAACATAATTACTATCTAGAATGTGTGTGTGTGTGTGTGTGTATAAACAAGCGCACTCCCATTTAATCAATTCTGAACCATACCAGCCCAATAGGACAGAATAGAACAGCGTCTGTGGGTTTCTGAGGCTGTAAGTCTTTGATGGGAGCAAAAGCCCTCATCTTTGTCCCAAATAGTGGGTAGTGGTTTTGAACTCTGGATCTTGTGGTTAGCAGCCCAACTTGTAACTTACTACAAAAGTTCATGGGAAAATACCAATAAAAGCGAATAGATTTTTCCATGAAGTTTCTGAAACCCATGTGCACGTAGGTGCATGCACGCACATGTGGTTTTGTACCACCACCCCCCCACTGCTCTTGAGTCAATTCCAACTCATAGTGACCTTTATAGGGTTTCTAAGACTGTGAATATGTATATGGAAGAAGTTGTATTATTCTTCCGAGGAGTGGCTGGTGGATTTGAACCATCAACCTTGCAGTTAGCAGTCCAATACGTTACCCACAGTGCCATCAGGGCTTCCATAAATACACACACATACTTTAAATTGTTCCTTTTTTCTAGGATTCACTAGTTACTAACTACTGAGTATCATCAACTATGGGCAAAGCAACCCTTGACTAGACCATGGAGATAAAATAAGTGAAATCAAACCTTGTAGCAGCCTCATCACCAAACGATTAGAGCATGGCTACTTTTCTGCAGATTGCACTCCCTAATCCATGGCAGTGTTTCTTTTAGGGAAGAATTATCCATGAGTAAAAGTGACTTCTTGCTAATTTTCATACAAAACATTAAGATAAGTTTTTAACTGACATATCTGTTGATGTGGTTAGTGGGAATATTATCTTATTCCATTTCGCATGGTATAAACACCAGCAGTAGATTTTAAGTCAGAAACCTGGTTGGCAACATTTTTCTATTATTAGTTATGTGACCTTTATTCTCAGTTTTCTCAGACGTAAAATCACATGAGCCTCTCTTGGTATAAATAAGAGTACTTATGAAAGTGCCCTGCAGATAAGAATGGTATAAATTGGCACTATTACTATCACTTTCTGAGAGAAAATAC